TTCCCAGAGACTTACTGGTTTATGGCGTAAATCATCAGGCTTCATACTGGCTGAGTGCCTGCGTGGAAGCATTAACTGTGTGAATTAAGGCTTTAGCCACTGAGTCAGGGACGGTGGTCAACAGCTGCAAAGTGCCTGTCAAGGATTGAAACGTATTCTGTAAAGAATATTAGTATAAACTTACAATATGTGCACATCTTATATTACAACTAGAACTTTATATCTCATGTATATTTGGAAAAATCAGCCACATCTATTGAAAAAAGAAGAGTTAATAAAAAAATAAGATGATGATAAAAACATGTTAATCGTTGGAAACAGAGCTGGGTAATATGAACAGAATTTACATTTATACTAAATTACAATAATATTTAATCTGACATAATGTCTTCAGTACAGCAGGATGGAAGGGCTGAATGAGCTATGATGCGTTTGAAGAATCAGGAAAAAGCTAAACTCAGTAAATTAGATGCAGACAGATAAAAACAAAATATATATATTTATAATTTAAACTTGATGTTTCCAGTATAGTCAATTTTTATATTACATGAGAGAAAACCTGTGATATATTTTATTTATTTCTTCACTTTTGTCTAGACAGGTAATCTCACGGAGACAGTCTCATTTGCAACAGAGACCTGTAACACAGACACAAAAGCTAATCCATAAAACAACATTTATTCTTCTTCTTTTGGCTTGTCCCTCTTCAGGGTCTCCACAGGGAGTCCTCCCCCTCCATCTCTGTCCTCTGCATCCTCTGTCCTCACTCCAACTACCTCCATGTCCTCTCTAACTGCATCCATATATGTCCTCTTTGTATCTTTCCTGCCAGCTGCATTTCTAACATCCTTCTACCAATATACCCACTGTCCCTCCTCTGGACATGTCCAAACCATCTCAGTCTGGCCTCTGCAACTTGATCTCCCAGTTGTTCGACCAGTGCTGTACCTCTGATGATCTCATTCCTAATCTCGTCCATCCTTGTTGCTCCTAAGAAGAACCTCAACATCTTCATTTCTGCTACTTCCAGTTCTTTCTCCTGTCTCCTGTCCTTGTGTCCATGTCTCTGTGTCCAGAACATACAACACAGCTGGTCTCAACATTGTCTTGTAAACACAAATAAAACCATAATACAACAATCATAAACAAGGCCTAAAAACAAGCACAGTTCTGAAACTATGATTTCTCTTCTTAAAATATGTTAAAAATATCCCCAGGAGATGAAACTGGACAGTTTCCGACCTTGTTGCCGTGTATTCCAGGAAGATGGAGCGGAACAGAAGAAGGCCTTTTTTCCAAGTTATGTATGAACTGAGGGGGCACTGAAAGAAATAAAATCCTGGGAACATTGGCTGTGACTTTGCTGTTTTTGTGACATCATAGAACAAAGAGGCAGCCGAGGATGGATTTGTAAACCAACTATACCAGAGTAGAAGTCTGCAGGTAGATAATGATGGCCAGTTTACCACAGTGGTGTTTTGCATTTCCTTATGAGCTCAGCTCCATGATGTCCAGCCTGTGCAGAAAGCTGGCTGGAGCATTCATATAAATAACACCCCCATCCTGAATATATAGTTATGTCATTTACAGTAGTCCCTCGCTACTTGACGGTTCATTTATCGCAGTCTCGCTCTATCGCGGTTCTTCAAAATAGGAGTGGACATGACACATTGGACATGGCTGATTGATGGATGAGCCGCTTGATCTGCATGCAATTTTTTATTTAAAATAAATCACTTTAAATTATTTAGCACCTGCTGCACCTTTGTGCAGCCTATAAACTTCCTGCTGCAGCTGATCAGCTGCTCTCCGTGAAGAGCGGAGAAGTGGGCGTGGCCAAGAGTGTTTGCAGGTGGCAAAGAGCCGCGGAGGCAGGGAGATGAAAATCATGACGTTCTGTGCTCTTTTAGAGTTTAGAAACATTGTTCAGAATATTGCAAAAGTGTGGGAAAGGGTTTAAAACTCATATATATTTATATATTACTACTTGTACTACTATCCCGACTTCGCAGTTTTTTAGTCTTAATGAAAGAGCAGACATCCTCACACAGGAAGTAGTTTGTAAAATGTTTGACTACTTTACAGAGGAGGGATTTCTTTAAATCATGTGTGGAACCTTTTGACCAGCAGTAACTAATTCGATTTTGAAGTTGCTATTATTTTATACCAGAGTTAATTGCATTGTTCTGCACAGAGGTTATGTAATTTATTAGTTTTCTGGCAGACTAACGGGGCAGGAAAGTGTTGCAGCATGAAAAATGCAGCAGATTCGTTGATATGATGTGTGCACATCTAAAGCTGAGCCAAAGCGTTATTATTTCATGAGCTTAATTGTAGATGCAAGCGCTCTGTGGGGCCACACAGGCTTTATCAACCTAGATGCCAGTTATGTAAAATAAATTAATAAATAAAACTTTAACAAGAAAAAGGAAAGAAATCGTTGTTCATGTTTTTACAATGGCATGCTCTCAAGCAATGAGTCTGTTGTGTTTGTCATGTTTCAAAGGAATAAGTGTAACTTTTACACATCATATACAGATTAAATATGTTGATGAAAAAAATTCTGATTCCAGAAAGTTGAGTGTGTTCAGTAATTGTATTAAAGCCACCATAAATAAGCTAAATTCCACTCATGAGTTTATCTGTACAACAAATATATTTAATTAAAAATAACCTGCTTTTATCATCTTGCCACAGTTAAGGATAAAGAGAGGATTAATTGGCGCTCGTGCAGCTCCCATGTGAGACTAACCAGGAGCTGCAATTCAATTTATATTCAGTTGATTTTAAATCAGTTGCATCTGGTTCAGTTCGTTAACAGCAAGCTGTTCTTTTAAAAACTTTAAAATGTTTTCAATTAAGCTTCATTTTATTTGGGCTTCTGTTGTACAATAAATAAATAAACAGTAAAAACTGGTATTTATGTAGCTGCGCTCGAGACTCTGCTTGGTGTGATTCAAGTTAAATGCTGATAGCAACATGACAATAAAAGAAATAGAAATAAAATTATAATGTTTGACAGGAATATTATTTGCATGTCAACATGGCTTCAGAAAACAGTTTTTAAAAGCTCAGACTCTTCTGGGAGAGCCGGTCTGTCAAATCAAATGTCAGCAGCGTGAATAAGGTGCAACAGCAAAAATTTAATTAAATTAGCTGGTTGTTGCCTCAGTTTAGTTTATTTAAGGGGATGATGCAGAGAAAATGTTAATCAAATTAAATGGAGGCATTTTTTAAAATAATGTATCTACCACAGCTCATTGAAAGAGCTCAAAAAACCTTAATACAAATTCCAACAGCTCCAAATATTTCTATGTAATTTTATGTGTTTTTACTTTGATCAACTCTTTTCCTCTCAACTCAAACAAAAATTGAAAAGGTCAAGTTTAATTTTGTCAACGTCAAAGTTGACAAGTCTTGAAGTTGACATTATATCTGTTTAGTTTAAAAAAAAAAAACAAACAAACACCAGTTTTGCAGTGACAGAAACTTTATCCCTCTGCTCAAAACTGCAGCCTTCAACTACTAGAACGCTCCTGAACGGGGACCGTCACGTTGCAACCATTTTAAAATCGTTTAATTTGCCAGTACTTTGTGTTGGGGTTCGCTCTCAGCTACCACTAAACCAAAGTTCAACTCAATATGGAAAAAAATAAAATTTAAAAATCTATGAGTCATTTTTTTTTTTCTTTTAAGCTAACGTGGCCATCTTCACTTTTTGATGTGATGGAGAATGTTCTCAGCTGTGACCTCACCAAATTTCATCTCAATATATCTTTTAAAAACAGCTAAGTTAACGTACTTTTTCCCCTTTTAGCTAACGCAGCGAATGTACAACTCACTCAGCTACGGCCACTCAGTATTCATTCGTTCAACCTTTATTTATACACGTTAATCCCATTGAGCCTCAGGGACTCATTTACAAGAGACACCTGATAATTATATATTTTAAAGAGATATCACAGAGTTGAACTTTGCGGTTTTTCCACTTATCGCTGGGGGGCGTGGTCCCAACCCCCGTGATAAACGAGGGACTACAATACTTTCTGCTAGGCTACATGCACATCGGCGCTATCTTTGTCTTTCTGAGCTTTGTTTATATGCAGCAAATTAACAGCTTGTTGTCTCCAACCGTACAGAAGTGAAGCCGTACGGGCGTTGCTAGAGTCGGTGCAGTTATGGGTTGTTTGGATGAAATCCTCCCAATCAAATACTGGTTCAAATCCCTGATCGTTGTGTCAGCTGTAAACAAAATCAGATCCCAGCCCCTGTAGCACACCGATGGAGCAATCGAGCTTTTTGACAAACGGCGTTTGTCTTGATGTCGAGTGTTTACTCTGACGGGAAACTGTTGTGGAAAATAAGAGCGTTCTGCTGCAATCAAGAGATCTTTTTCCTCCATTTCTCTTCTTTCTCTCACACTAACGCTTCCCACTCAGCTCGGCTCTTTTCTCTCACTGTTGCCATCGATCTGCACGCCGTCCCGCCCACTCCACCTGACCCTCTTCCACTTCCTTCTTTTACTCCTCCTCATTCTCCTCTTTGTTTCCCCTCCCGTCACCATTTCTCTTCATCACTCTTTCGTTTGCTTATTTTATTCTTTTTGTTCTTTCCTTCCGTAGATCTTTACCTCATCATGTGCTTCCTCTTTGGTCCATTTCTGTCAGCAGGAGTCTCCCCCTCCTTCATCAGAGTCCTTCTCGGTGCCCTCTCTCATCAGTTCACCTTCCCTTTGTAGTCCCATAACTGGTCTGCATGTTTGGTAGATTATGACACAAATGTGATTAAAATTATATGTCAGAAGCAAAAACTGAGGTAATGTTACACAGAAATTGTTTTTATGTTCGGTTTAACCTGACACTGCATTTTAATTTGAGGAGGACGATTCAGGAGCCGCATCTTATTTCTGCAGCTTTGAGCATATATATCAGAGAATGTCTAAATATTTATTGTAATAAATTGTGCTGCAACATTAACCCCCCCACCTTTTCTTTTTCCAGGGGGTCGTCAGGGAAAGATGCCAGTGACGGCACTGGAGGCTTTTGACCTGGAGACGAAGAGCTGGACGCGTTACCCCTGCATCCCCAGTCGGAGGGCGTTCTCGTGCTGTGCTTCAAACGAGCGGAGCCTCTTCAGCCTGGGGGGCCTTCAGCAGCCGGGGCCACATAACTTTTACTCCAGACCTCACTTTGTCAGCACCACAGAGGAGTATGATCTGGATCAAGGTAAGCGGTGATTTATATAAAGTTCTCTTTTTACAACACATCTACAGAGCCGTGATTGGCCAAAGTGGTTTACAGAATAAAAGCAATAAATGCAACTTTCATAAAACACTAAAAATAGAAACTGAAGAACATCAAAGTTCATGCTCAATAATCCAACCATGTTCAGTCGGGTCATCTGAATGGTTTCATTTGTTGCTGAGATGTTTCAGCCTTCATCCGAAGGACTTCTTCAGTCTAAGGAGCCCTTTGGTGGACTTGAGGAACTTTGGTGTTTTGAACCACTTGGCTGCCTTAGAGGAGTTGATGGGGGAGAGGGCAGGCACCAGAGGCAATCACCTGCAAACTGTTTTTTTGTTTTTTTTTCCACTCCGGGAGTGAGCTGTTTGTGGGATTCAGTTTGGTTTGGTGGGCTCCTTAAACTGAAGAAGTCCTTTGGATGAAGGACAAAACATCTCAGCAACAGAAGAAACTGTCCAGACTGAACATTGTTGGATTTATACCTGGATAAATGAGCATGAACTTTGGTGTCAGGTCATTTTTCATTTATTGAATTCCTTTTGATGAATGACAAAACAGCTCTACAAAATAAATAATAATAAAAATAATAAATGAAAAACAGTCCAGATGACCTGACTTTATTGGATTTTGTTACCTGGATTATTGAGCATGAACTTTGATGTTTTGAAACACTTTGGCCATGGCTGCCTCAGAGGAATTGACGGAGGAGAGGGCAGGCCCCAAAAGTCATCTTATCACCAGCAAACTGGGTGGTCCATTATGGGAGTGTGCTGCTTGTGGCTCCTCAGACTGGTGAAGTCCTTTAGATGAAGGACAAAACAACTCAACAAACAAACAGAAACCATCCAGATGACCTGACTGAAATGTATTGGAGAGAAGCTGAGACCAGAGTTATTAAGGCTAAATAAAAAGCAGATAAAGCTAAAAGCAGCAAAAGTCAATAATCCAGTCCATGCAATGAGCATTTACAGAATTATGGGATGCAGATTGTACTGCTTAGCTGAAAAGCTGTAGCTTTTCTTAATGAGCATATAGACGTTTGGTTTCCTTGGTTTTCATAAATCTGTAAAGAGGTTTATTTGAGCCCTGAAGATCCATAATTTGTTGAATTCTGCAGTTTTTAGAGCCCATTCCTGGGACGGTTTTATTTATGCACATGATTTTTACTGATTCAGTTCAAGTTCGTTTGATAACCTGAGAGCAGTTAACTGGTCTGCCACACTTCAGTGTATCGCCATGTGAGCGCACGTCTCCTTTTCATTATGGTAAACTCATTTAAGACTTTTTCTGTTGGATTCATTTTATCCCCAGAGGTTCACAACGTTGTCCGAGTTTAAAAATATGAAATGGATACATTTTTTTTTCTTCCACACTCCTTCTAGAATAATTAACTCTCTCACAAATGAGAGAAACAGAAACTGAGCGCTTCAAAACTTAATTGAATCCAAGAATCTCTCGTTCCTCTGGATTGTAGAGCACTTTGTGTTCTGAGTGCATCTTGTTCTTCGTGTTTTAGATTTATTCTTTTTTTCAACACTTTTAGCAACAATGTTTAATTAATCTGAGCCAACATAAGAATAATCTTTCTACATAAACACTTTAGGTAGGCCAAGCTTTAGGGATGAAGTAACAACATTTATTTATTCTTGTAACATGCCAGTGAGTATTACGTATTAGTTGTACCCAGGATTAGCCGATATGAAGGTCTTTTTTTTTTAGCAACAACAAAAATAACTTCAGTCCTGCTTTTAGTTTTGTTTTACTTCCTGAACAGATGCAAAAAAGAAAGGTCATTTTCGTTTAGCTAAAATTAGTGGTTGGTTTTCTCACAATACATTTACCGTATTTTTTGGCCTATAAGTTGCACCTTTTTGCTTAATTTGCATACTCTATGACTTAGACGCTGAAGCGACTTATTTATGTTTTTTTCCATATTTATAAACCCATTTTTGGCTGAGATATCGTTTTCATTCATTCTGACTGAAAATATTGAACACTAACATTTTCAGCTGATAGATGGCACACAAGTAGTATGGCATGCTGTTGTCATGTAAAAGGTAGAAGCAGCTATTAATGACACAATCGGTTTGCCATAGCCTGCCACCTTCGTCCAGCTGGAGCAACCGTCAAATCAGCTGCATTTAGCTGCACCGCACCGGTGAAATGCAGCTGATTTGACCATTGAAGTGCATTTATTAAGTAAAAGTTCAACAGACACACCTTTACTATAATTTGGAGCAAACAAGTAATTATTTTTAAGTGTTAATCTTGTTAAAGTCCTCCCGCGCACGCTCCCGCGGCCGCCATTTGGCATCCAATCGATTTTTGGCACAACACCGGCCCACATTTCCAGGTTGTCCGCGGTGATGCACAATAGATGAGACTTATAGGCTGGAAATATGTAATCCAAAAAAAGTTAAATCAGGTCCTCTGGATGGTTTCTTTTTGTTGAATCGTTTCATCCAATGGACTTCATCAGTCCGAGGAGCTGCAACAATCTTTTGAACCACTTTGGCAATGGCTGCCATAAACGAGTCGGCGGGGGAGAGGGCGGACTCCAGAAACCATCTGAGCACCATCAAACTGGTTGAACCACTATGTGAAGGTGCTATTTATAAGACTGAGTTAGTTGTGACTCCTCGGACTGATGAAGTCTTTTGGATGAAAGACGAAACGTTTTAACAAGAATAAAATTGTCCAGAGAACCCGACTGAACTTTGTTGGATTTTTCTACCTGGATTATCGAGCATGAACCAGGACATTTAATGTAATGTTTCAGATTTTAAATACATCAAGAATGGGATCTGTTCCATCCTCAGAACAAACTCATTCATGGGACGATGGACTCAGTTTAGTCAGATCTGCTGCTGATGAAAGGAAAGACGATGAATGAATGAATCACACACTCCAATGAAGTGCTTATTGTGCTGGTTGTGAATCAATTAAAACATTCCTGCAAAAAACATATCTGAGCAAAAAAAATTAAAAAAATAGGGTGGACTAAGAATACAGGGTTTAATAAAGTAAAAATCCTTAGCTGTTTAAATCTGCTGCAACAAATCTGTCTTGAACTTCATATAATTTTCAAATGTTCCCATATCCAATTAAATTGCATGAAGAACAGGATGGTTTGTGCTATGAAGGATTTTAACTAGTTATGTTGTGCTAGCCTCACACCTCGTCTAAAAAGACGACTACATTCACATTAAAAAATGTTCCACAGGGAGCATATATAAAATCATAATCACATACTTTTTCTAAATGTATGTTTGTTTGTGGGGATCTGTAGATAGGAATCATTCCCGGTTGCAGTGCAGGAGAAGAAAAAGCTAAGAATGGAAACTGCAGAGTAAAAAACAGCAATGATGCGTTTATCTACTGGAATATGTTCTGACAGTACACGACCTCAGGCCAAAGAGCAATTTAAAGCAAAATGTTGTGCTGAGTGTCGTGTCCAGTGCTAACTTCCAAGCCCAACTCATGATCCAGGAACTATACAGACCCGTCACCGGCTGTTGGTGTGTTCCTGTCAGTTTACTGACGATCTTGATGATGTGATCAACAATCACTTGTTTGTTTTTTTTAACCACTTTGGCCTCGGTTGTCCTCCGGCTGTTTCTGTTAGCAGCAAGTCGGCCACCTAGCCTAAAGCATTTGATCATTGTACACCATGATTGATTGTTTTGGATGTGTGTGCTTTGTTTGCACGTGGTAAAAAGTTTGCTTCTGAGATTCCAACAGGAGGTTGGCTTGAAGTGAGGCAGGTCTGGCTGGCGAGCCGCGGACTGACAAAGTCCACCAGGTGGGGGATGAATTCTCATTTAAAGAAACTGGTCCAGATGACTTGATTTAACCTTTTTTTTTTTTTTTGCTTAGAAATACAATTGGTTTGCATACACTGCTGTTGTGTACATATATGTACTGGATTTTCTTTAAAGTAAAAGGTACGCAGCAATGAGTGCAGTGGATTTCCGCATACAGTCAGGAAATTCAGGCGACACAGACAGCTGCAGACTCCACCGATCCACTGCAGGTGATGCCGATTGGATTATCAGTGAGAATAAATCAGTTTTGTTCCCTGCTGTATCAAACAGAGCACAAACGTAATGCACGGCATCATATCATGATCTGTTGATAATACAACTCTGCAATCATTTTACCATATGGGTTTAGACTTACAGCTTTTAAAGCCTTTTTTTTAAGCTTTGCACAAGGAAATGTAAAAATCTTGAATAATGAGGTTTAAACAATAGAGATTACAAAATATCAGCAATACTGATAATTTGAATTAAAACCAGGCTATGACATGCTTTAGTGTGCAATTATGAAGTTAAATAGGTGAATATAAAATGTAAATATTTTGAACAACGGTGTTTTTATCGTTTAAGACCCTAACTGAGTGTTTTAATTTCCAGCATCGTTCAACACTGAATCAGTTTTCAGTCCCTCAGAGCCGAAAAGCCGCCTGTAGCTTCAAAAACGTTCAAAACCCAAGCTGTGGTGATCCATATCTTACAACGCAAAGCCAGAGCTAAAATAATGCTGCAGTGAGTCGTGATTTGAGTTAACGTAACAACAATTTAGTGCTTGGGGGAAGAAACAGTAAATCATGAAAAAAGTAGAACAGTAAAATATTATCTCTGACAGGAAGCCAAACGGGATAAATGTCTTTGTGACACAGTCAGTTCAGTAATCTCTTTTTTATTGAAACTTTGTATTGTTAATTTAAGTTCTGTATCTTGTTTAGTAAAAAAAAAAGTCTGAACTCAAATGCAAAAAACAAAACTCAGAGGCCTCAAAGGTAAAAAAAAATAACAAAACTAATTTATTAACAAAAGGCTGATGTGACAGCAGAAATAATCAAAAAATCAGGACTCAAAGGAGGAAAAACCCTGAATGGCTCATGAGCACAAGGACAAACGCTTTTAAAGGAAACTAATGAGGGAGGAATGACAACACCTGGGGAGAGACGATCAGGTGAG